GCAAACCATAGGAATACGTTACACCGAAAATATGAACCATAGAGATAGGTTACCCTAAATAATGAACCAAAAAGATAGATTATCCTAAACAACAACAAAGCATAGGGATAAGTTATCCTAAATAATCAACCATAAGGATAAGTTTTCCTAAACAATGAACCATAAGGATAGGTTGCCCTAAAAAATGAACCATAGTGATAAATTATTCTGAACAATAAACCATAGAGATAGATTGCCCCGAACAACAAACTATAGGGATAGGTTGTCCAGAACAATAAACCATAAGGATTTATGGCCTTGAACAATAAACCATATGGATAGATTGCCTTAACTAACAAACCATAATGAAATGCTACACTAAACAATGAACCATAGGGATAGGTTGCCTTGAATAAAAGAAAATCATAAAGATAGGTTGCCCCGAACAACAAACCCTAAGGATAGGTTGTCCTGAATAATCAACCATAGGGATAAGGTATCGTAAACAATGAACTATAGGGATATGTTATCTTAAAAAAATATATATATAGTAACAAGTTACCTTGAATAAGAAACCATAGGGATAGGTTACCTTAAACAAAGAGCTATAAAAATAAGTTGTCCTAAAAAACAAACCATAGAGATAAGTTACTATGAACAATGGACCATAGAGATAGGTTGTCCTAAATAACAAACCATAGGAATAGATTGCTCGAACAATGAATAATAAACCAAAATGATAGGTTTCCCTCAACAAACTATAAGGATAGGTTGCCCCGAACAATAAATCATAGGGATAGGTGGCCCTAAACAATAAACCATAAGGATAGGTAATCTTGAATAAAAAACCATAAGGGATAGGTTGCCTTAAACAACAAACCATAGGGATAGATTACACTAAACAATGAACCATAGGGATACATTGCCCTAAATAATGAACCATAGAGATAGGTTCCCTTGAACAACAAACCATAATAATATGTTATCCTAAATAATCAACTATAGGGATAGGTTATCCTAAACAATGACTCGTAGGGATAAGTTGCCCCGAAAAACAAACCATAGTGACAAGTTACCCCGAATAATAAGCCATAGGGATAGGTTATCCTAAACAACCTAAACAATGAACCATAAAAATAGGTTGTCCTAAACAACAAACCAGGTAGATAGGTTGCTCTAAAAAATAGATCATAAGGATATGTTGCCCTAAACAATAAACTATAAGGATAGGTTACCCCGAACAACAAACTATAGGGATAGGTTACCTTGGATAACAAACCATAAGGATAGGTTGCCCTGGACAATAAATCATATGGATAGGTTTCCTTAAATAAAAAACCATAGGGATAGGTTGCCCCGAACAATGAACCATAGGGATTGGTTGCTCTAAACAATGAACCATAAAGATAGATTGCTCTAAGAAAAAAAACCATAAGGATATATTGTCTTGAATAATGAACCATAGGGATAAGTTGCCCTAAAAAACAAAGCATAAGGATAGGTTGCTTTGAATAATGAACTATAAGGATAGGTTATCCTGAATAACAAACCATATGGATTGGTTTCCCTAAACAACAAACCATAAGGACGGGTTGCTCTAAACAATGAACCATAGGGATAAGTTGTCTTAAACAACAAACCATAAGGATAGGTTTCCTTGAACAACAAACCACATGAATAGGATGTTCGAAAAATGAATCATAAGGATAAGTTGTCCTGAATAACAAATCATAGGGATAGGTCTGCCCTAAATAATGAACCATATGGATAACAAATATGTTTTTATGGGTTGTAGCTATCAAGGGCTCGTCAATTCTTGGATACTTGTTTTATATTTATATATATCGGACTATGGAAATAAGCTTTTTATCGACTCGTATTTAAAAAATACTAGATTATCCTAATAAAATGAATTCATTCAAATAGGCATAGACTCATAACATATTAAGACCAGATTATTTAGTTTTCATATGTACGCAATGCAACCTATCTCAAGTAAGGCAAAGGTAATGGTGATTTCAATCTTTTCTACTCGTAACCAACCCCTTACCTAGATATCCATACAAATTAGTCATTTTTTAGTTTTCTAGTTTCTCCGATGCTAGGAGGAGACTCCTTTCTTAATTCCATATCCTTCCTATAGAGCTATTCATTGAAAAACTTGACATCGTTGAACCCCATGATAGTTTGCAACTTCACTAGAAATATAAATCTTCAACTCGTATATATGAATGAAATATTTGGTTATATGTTATGTTTCTATGCCTATATGATTAATTCTTTAGTGATTTTTTACTTTTAATTGCATGCTTGCTTGTATGCGTGCTCGTGAACTTGCTTTGTGTGTTTTGCCTTTCTTGTAGCCTTTTAATTTTAGTTTTTAGCCTTTAATTTCTAAGTCTCGGGTATGGAGTACTACCCCAAATACATCACTCGCATAATTATAATGTCATTTGCATTTGTTTCGGGTTCTAGAGAGTTAGTAATGTGCCCTCATGGGTTTTTCCTTTGGTAAACACTCACCAAACCTCAAACGTTTTTACTAACAACCATCGTCCGATGAGTAATTGATGATTTTTATGATTACTAATGTTATTGTGATCAGTTTTAGTGATTTTACTAAGCTTTACTAAGCTAGATTATACCATTTTGATACTTAGATAGAGCCTACTTATTCATACAATGGTTAGAATCAAACCCCAATATCATCTTACCTTGTTAGGATCACTAGGCAAGTCATATGCATTTGACCCGGAAGGGGACAAGTCATATAAAACAAACTATAAAGGCAGATTGCCCTAACCAACGAGCCAAAAGAATGATGTGTATTCCTTTTGTTCGATTGTTACTTATATTTTAGTTATTTCCTTTTCTTTTCTTTTTTCAATTTTATTTACAAAGCTTTCTATGCAAAGCCCAAAAAATAGCCTTTCAATGACTTTGTGGCGAAAGCATTGCAAAAAGAGGATAACTATTGTCACTCAATTTTTTACCCTTGTTTTTATTTTACAAGTGTTTACTTTTGATTAGGATTTTTTAAGAATCCTATTGATTTTGTGAGTAAAGAAAAAAAAAGACAAAGAGAAAGGAAAAAAGAAGAGATAAAGGAAAATTGAGATTTGGTGTCGAATTAATATATATATATATGTGTGTGTGTATGGTGAATTAGGACCAAGAAAATTTTAATTGGAGGCTTAATTGCAAAAAAAAAAAAAAAAAAAAAAAATCCAATTGGAGGGATGTTAGGCTAGAAAACAAAGAGATGTGAGTTAAAATAGGGAGGAAAAAAAAGACAAAAAGAAAAAATACAAGTTGAAGTTTTCACTTAAAACCCTAGCAACGCCCACTATAAAGCTCTCTTTCTCTCTCATGAGGGGAGGTCATTCATTTCTTTTGCAAAAAGAAACCTAGACAGAGAAACAGTCTCTCCCTAAACACTAAAGCCTTTCTATGTTTTTCCAATAGTAGCCACGGATTGCAAATCTTCAAGTAGCAATCCATTTTTTAGCGATTGCAGACAACAACTTCTTGGCATTCCAGCCTCAAAAAGATAGCCTCGCACTTTTTTTTAGGCCAACTTTCCTATTTGGTTGACAATATAAATTCTCCCTATTGAAGATCGAAGAAAGTGGTCCAAAAAGTGAAGAAGGAATCACGATTTGAAGTGCTAACCTTCCCTCCCTTCGATTGACAATATAGATGGTCTCTATCAAAGGACTCGAATAAGGCGCATAAAATAGATTTTCGAAGCGGTTTTGGGAACTTTTTGGTTGTTTTGAAAAACAAAGTAAGTTCTCGACATCTTTTTATCGCATTTAGATTCTTCCCGAATTTAAATGTATTTGGATTGATTTTGTGAATGGATGCGAAGTTTATTATGAATATATGAGATTTGAAGTGTGATTAAGATACATCATTGTGTATCGAACTCGAATGGATCGGAGACTCCTAGTACTTTTGAGGTGAAATAAGGTCGGCATTCAATGCTCGTGATGGAGCTAGGCTTGAATTTTAATTTCAATGGTTTATCTATGGTGAGTGTCAATCTTGGTATGTATATTTGAGAATGCTATTGTTTTTTAGGATGATTAATTAAATGTTATGTTCATGTCATGTTTGCTTGTGTGGCGTAAGCTCCAAAATGTGATGCAAGAGTATGATAAGTCAATCAAGATTACACCTTGAGTTAACACTATAATTGTGATTGATTAATTATGGTATGGATAAACCCAGTGAATTTTTCAAGATTAATTTTGGAAAATGAACCGTAAGAGAGGTCGTCCCGAACAACAAATCATAGGGATATGTCATCTTGAACAATGAACTATAAGGATAGGTTGCCTTGAACAACAAACTATAGGTAAGTTGCCTTGAACTATGAACTATAAAGATATCTTGTCTTGGATAATAAACTATAAGGATATGTTGCCCCGAACAACAAACAATAGGGATAGGTTGCCTTGAACAATGAATCATAGTGGATCCCAAATGTGCTTTTACATTGCAATTGCTAGGGACTCACCAATTCTTGGATACTTTTTCTTTCTCTATCAAAGTACAAAAATAGTTCTTTGACCGAACTCGTGTCCTAAAAATACTCGATTGTGCTAGAAAAATGAATTCCCTTAAATAGACATAGACTCATAATGTATCAAGACTAGATCATTTAGTTTTCATATGCATGAAATGTAGCCTACCTTACGTAGGGTGAGTTAGTGGTGATTTTTATCTTTCTTATCCATAACAAACCTCTTACCTAAATATCTACATAGATTGGTCATTTTTAGGTTTTTTAGTTCTCCAATGCTAAGTGACGACTCCTTTTTTAATTCTCTATCCTTCCCGGAGAGCTATTCAACATTGTCGGACCCCGCAACACCATGTATCCCTTCTTAAGAAGTAGTTGAGTATGAAGAATAAAGTGGATTCATGTTTGCCAACTATGTCGAAGGGTCGGGATATTACTACATCCTCAACCTACTACAATTCCGGATAGTCACAAGAAAGACCAAAAACGTGAATTACTCATCCACTCGACAAGGTCTTCTAGCTACAAACGCTCCGTAGGAAGGAGAACACTCTTTCCAAACAAGGTTTCTTGCTTTTACCGGTCCTTAAGGACAATAACCTTTTTTAACAACGAACAATGTCACATTCCTACCTCGGATTCCATTGTTTCAATTAAATTCATTTGTTAATATTGCAAGTTGAGTTAGTAGTGTATTCCCTAAAGTTAATGAACACGGAAATACAGTAATGAACTATAATTTAACTACTTCGAGCTATTATTTAGCTATCCACTCCTTAGTTATTTTAACGTTACATTACGATTAAATAATCATTATACATGCGAGTTAACGATTCATATAGTATAATACGAATAAATATTTTATTTTTAACCATTAATGTAAATCAAATTTATATATTGAATAAACTTATTTGATTTATATATATTTATCAATAAAATAATTTATAATATTAGTATAAAAAATTATATTTGAATAATTAAGAGATTCTTTTACAATATTAATTAAATTATTTTATTTAAAAATAAAAATTTTAGAACATGAAAAAATAAATAATAAATAATTAACATTATGTATGCAAATATAATTAATTTATAATAAAACTACCTGAGCAAACGCTTCAGATAACAATTATGAAATTTCACTAACGTCAAAATTTGGACACATAAAACAAACCAAATGTCTTTAGTTCTCACTGTCTAAACCTTTAAACTGACTGAGCTACGAACAAGATTATGAGTTTGGGGTCCATCCATCTGACAGGATGAAGCAACATAAATGACTCGATTCTGCTAGAACAGACCTGGCCGCTCACATGCTCATCAAGCAGAAAACTGTCCATAACTCTTCTATTTAATTCTAGTTTTGCCTCATCAGAGAACATAGTAGTACCCGAGTACTAGAAGTAAAAGAACTACCAAAGCAGCAGGAGCAGCCCACATCCAATAGTTAGTTGACTTTTTCCTCCTCAAGATGGCTTTAGGAAGTGAATCTGGGCCTCTTGGACGATTCCTAGACCTAACAGAATTCTCTTTCCGAACTTTTTCCTTCACCAGACCAGGGAACTCATCATTCACTTCAACCTTTTCAGGTTCTACTGCCTCTGCAACTGCTTCAGGAGGTTCCTCAGCCTCAGTAGCTGGTGAAGATGCTGAAGCCTTCTTCTTTAATTTCTTTTCACGCTCCTAAAGTAAATCAAAGAAGAGTCTTTTTTTGAGTTTCTAAATACAAATAGCAAACTAAGCAATGGCAAAAATAAAGAAATAAACTAATAACCTTGAGCTTTTTCTCAGCATCCTTTTGAGCTCTAGCAGCTGCTTTCGCAGCTGCTTTCTCAGCCAGCTTCTTCTTCCTTTCCATGGCTTGCTTAGCTTTTGCTATTTCCTCCTCTCTTTTCATCTCCTTCAATTTTGCTTCATCAACTTTCTTTTCTGCAGGAGAAGGATCCTTTCGCAGATTTTCCAACCCAGAGACATCCTTGTCAACTATGTCAGACTGCTCAGAAGTGGTCTTCAATTCTGTCTTAGTAGTTTCTTTCTGGACCTTTTGGGTGGGTAAAACATCTTTTGGAGTGGGTTTTGGGTCTTCTTTTGGTCGCTTTGCATTAGCTTTTACCGCTGGCTCTGGTTCAGAAGGTATCAGTGTCTCCAATATCACCAATGGCTTCTCATCAGGGTTCCTAATTCGTCCATCCCTACTCAATTGCCGGCGGTCAAGCGAGGGCAAAATTCTTTTCTCATAATCATCCCTAAAGGCCTTGTTATGGCTCCAGAGGGACATAAAATTTTCAACCTAATTACAGATATTATAGCAAAACATTGACATATATCAGCAATAATTAGACACTGCTGTTCCTAACACCAGATAGTATTTGTCTAACCTACCTCAGCATGTGCAAGTTCTTCAAGAGCCTGTACATCTTTCTTAGCAGCAAGTTCTTTGGCTTTGGTCAAGAGCATACGGCTTTGGTAAAAGTTGGCATTCTGACAAAGACACAAAAGATAAATTAAAGGTATGTCCAAAACAATTCATCCTGATAAAGACGCAAAAGATAAATTAAAGGTATGTCCAAAAAAATTACACACAAACTTGATCCAATTGTACTCCAAAAACTAGAAAAATGATCAAATAACTATTCTACAGCCAATAATCCAAACAAAATGCCAAATTCAATTATGTCAAAAAGAAAGGAGAAGAGGAGGCGGGAATCCAATATGGCTCGGCAGTTTGGGCTTTTATAAAACTACTCACTTCAAAGCAAGATTCTAGAGAAGTTTGTCAAAAATACAGTCCTCCAGTAGGCAGTGCAAGGCATGCACTAAGGAATAATATGATTTCAAAAACATTCTCGCAATGCAAAAGTATAAAAACCCCAAGTCTACAACATCAGTTTGGTTTTGAAGTGATGTCCACTACAGGCTCCCATGCAACCAATAATCTCACTAAGTAATGGTGTTAAAAAATGCTTCCAAGATAGACTCCAGCTACACCTCTGAAACACCATACTTTTGGACCAGAAGATTTTCACAACATATCAAAGCCAATGTCCAAGCAAACATGTGGAAGTATACTTGCTTTGTATTTTGCTTTCTCAGACAGCAGATTGCTGGCAAAACTAACCTTGAAGTAGTAGTAGATACAAGGAGAAAACGTTAAGGGTAAAATTAAAGACTAAAAGTGGTACAAGGCTTTTGGTTCCAGATCAAAACAAACCAAATCCACTGAACCTATACATAGTCCTATTGCCCTGTACTTTACAAAAGGGAGAACTAATATACTTGTGATTGAAACTCCTGTTGTTTCAACATCATAACAGACAACGTTAGCAGATTTGGATCCAAATACAAAATTTTGATGTCCCACAGGGATGTGCATGCATTCTGCAAAGCTCCAATAGACAACGGGCTAAACAACCATGAGAATCCCCACATCACAAAGCAATATTTTAAACAAAAAGTAATGAACAATGCAAAAGATCATATAAAAGTCATTAAAATGCTTTTAAAAATAGCAATAATTTAGCGAACCCAATCCTTTCTGTGTTAACATAGCACAAGCCTACAAACCCACAGATAGACGGCTCTTTTGTTTACATGAAATAATTATTGAAATTAATAAACATACCGCCTCATCGCGCTGTTTCCGTAGTTCCTGAATAGTTTCATACGCTTTCTCCCTCTTCTGCGACACAGCTGTCAACTCATTCACTAAAGTTGTAATTTCAGCATCCAGTGCCTTCAATTTCCCATCAAGTCCATCAACTTTTCCCCAAAGTACTTGCTGCTCCTTCTTTACTCCATCCAAGTCGACACCCATAAGCTACAATAACCAAAATGGAGTAAATTACTGTTACACATATGGTGATAACAATCATTCAGACAGAAAGTAAAGTTGGTGAAACAACAAACTTCCAACACATGATAGTTCAAAAACAATTATCTTACTTTGACCTGGTCTTGAATGGCTTCTTTCTGACCCATTGAATCCTGAATCTTTGTTCTCATAGCAGCATTAGCAATTACTTTTTCCCTTGTCCCCTCAAGCAGTTTGATTTCTCTAAGTATTTGCTTCTCCTCTGTCAATGGGATGCTCTCATGTTGTATGCGGTATTGCAAGCTGTAGATCTGAAATAACCATTCAATCCGAAAACTTAAAAAATGCAGTATCGCTTACTAATGCATCAAAATAAAATGGCAAGTCCCAGTACATATGCGAAGCTAGTGGCTAAAAACATACAAGATCATTAAGCTCTTCCTCAGATGAACATAAACCACCACGACCAGCACTATTTGTGTTACGCAGCTTGCCCAGTGCCTGCTGCAGAGGTTCCATCTCCCTTTTTTTCTCATCAAATATTGATTTATACTGCCTATGCTCATTCTTCAGACTCCTCACCAGGCCTATCAACTCTGCTCGTTTTGACTGCAGAAGAACAACAGAAAAATACGTAGAATTTCTTTGGAACTAGATTGGTGAATCTTTTTCAACAAAGGTGCAACACAGTCATATAATGGGAAAAACATGCTATGTAATAGTACAACATAACAATCAAGCTCGCAGCTAAAATATAAGGAAAAAAAATCAAAAGAACACATCATCAATCTGAAAGCTGAAATATAAATATTGTCAACTTTAGGGAGCCTTATATTTAGTATTTCAAACTTTTCGAGACTAACAATCTTCCTACAGTTCTCAAACACCATTCTGAAACAATTTTGTAATCATTAGTGAAAAACTTGAGCAAAGGTTTAACTACCATGCCATTGAATTGACATAGCAAATGTAAAAGTAAGACTTTCTTCGTCGTTAACATTATTGCAATGCTACTTTAACAAACATCAAAACATCATTCTTATATTTGCGATGCATCTGTACCAAAAATATTTGCTGGCAAATTAATCATGTTTGTCTTTTAATAGACCAGACAGACAAAAAACCAATTCCATCCATGAACACACATGGTTTAATAAAACTGAAACGCTCATAAGGCCAATCAGTAGTATTAAGATCTTCATTTCTAAATTTCAACATTCAAAGGGTGAATAATAGTAAAAATGAACACAACTCATCATAGAAATGAGCTCTCCTCTCTTTAGACAATAAACACAAACAGGTTCTGTTAAGTGCATTTAAAAGGGGACACAAACAGAGACTAATAGAAAAAGATGACAGGAGATGTACTTCAGCTTGTTGACTTGGGAAAATTGCAGGTAAAACTAAATACATAAATGGCAATACTTTTAGTTTGCCTTCTACCTATCATTCCTGCTTTTCATAAAGAATACTCCCTTCAAAATCGAGCTGTTTCCAAAATCAACTGTTCGCCATGAAAAGGAAATTCTGCACAGATCTTTCATCCTATGTCTTTCACTTTTCGAACAAAACAAAGGAAAAATGAGACAAATTATACAGAAGAAACCCTCACCAAACACATATTCAGATGAGGTTTCCACCGGTTTCACAATTAAAGATTTACCATACTTTTCTTGTGCTCATAGAGTAATATGCAATTTCTTTCTTTAAAAAAAAAAAGAGTTACAGTCCCATTATTATAATAACCCTGTTGACCGAAATAAATGTGACGAAAATGAACAAAAAGAGTTGATTAGCTACATTATTTCTGCATGCTGCTATGGAATGATTCTTGACCAATCATGACAATTCACAAAAAAATCTTAAAACCCATAACTTTCTAGTAATTTATAGTTTTCTAAAACCACCAATACATGGCAAATAGCATATCTAGTAAAAACAATAAGCTTCCAACTTACCCTTTTAGCTTTTAATTCTTCCGTAATCTGAAACCGGGACAGATTCCTCTTCTGAATCTCCTTATCAGCCTGATCAATTTTGGCTTTTATTATTGGATCATCATGTGGTCGGTACGTTACAAAATAAAAGGAATGGATCTGCTTAGGAGCAGGCCACTCGTCAACCGCATCCTTTGGCAAGTTGGCATCTGTAACATCATTTCCTTCTATTTTAACTGCCTCCTCCCCATGTGAACCAAATTGTATGGGCTCAGCAAGCCCTGATGCCTTATCCAGTTTCCCATTTTCCTCCTCATGCAGAATCGATTTATCCACTTCACTCACGCCGTCAATAGGGGCCTGAACTGTCTCAGGTGCCACAACCTCAACACCCATTTCTCTGAGCAAAGATCAACCTCACAAATGAACAATCCTGATGTACGAACAACCACATGTCATGAGAATAAAGAATATTAAAAAAAAACCCATTTTACAACAAGATCGAGGCATCAAGCAAGTCCAAATCCATTTGTTTTGCTAAAAACCAAGATCAAAGTTAAGTAAACAAATGAATCATATCTAACTTATCATTCAAGTAAAAAACAAAGCAAACACAGATAAAATTACCACAAAATCCATAACACAACAGCAACAACAATCAAGACACAATTGGATGAAACAGAGATATCCACACATTTCAGTACATAGAAAAGAAAAACAAGCAAATCCAATAGAAAAAGCCATAATCAAAAACACCACATCAGATCACTTAAAAAAACATGTCCTTCTCAAAGATCCAATCTTTTCCAACTTTGACACACCAATCCAATCATGCAATAATGAAAAGAAATCCCAACAGAAGCAAGAAAAGAGAGACTACCAAGTAAATTACAACTACCCCTTCAACGATCAAGATCAATACATATCAAGCAAGAAAACATAAAAGCAAAAGAATTGTGGGATATGATAACAGAAACGAAAGAAAGAGAATTATTACCAGAAGTAGAAAAAAATGGAGCAGAAAAGGAAGACCCTTTTGACAAATAAGGGCCCTCAAGTTTCGAGTTTTGGGTGACTCAGATCTCAAAGTCTCTCCTCCTCTGTTTCTTTTTCTCTCTCTGATACCAAGGAAGACACTTTCTCTTTCTTAGGCGAGAGAGAGAGACGGAGAGTAAAAAGAGCCCTCCTATTTATTTATATATCTCTATATTTATTTTTATTTTTATTTTTATTTTTTTGGATATCTTGGTTTTCTCTAATTTCTACTTTCTAAATTTCGTTTGAGCCCGAAAAACGTAGGACCACAATTTCCTTTTGTCCAAGTTTACGAAATGCTTTTGCCAAGGAACTTTCTCAATTCCCATAAATAATTATAATATCTAATTTCCACTCTAAGAGCGGCATGACAGTCTATATATATATATTCTAAATCTTTGTAGAGGAATAGAGTGTGATAGCATAATGTTCTTTCATGCAAAGTATTGTTCATAAGTTTAAGTTTAAGTAATAAGAAAGCATGATTAATTGTCAGTGTTATAGTTAATTACTTTAATTAACTAAATTATTTCAAAGATCAATGATACAGTCAAACCAAAAATCGAGTCTTTATTTGTATTAAAATAGAATTAAGATAATGGTACAGTCCACTCGTTAAATTCAGCAAAAACTCTTGATATAAAATGGTGCAAGAATATTTCAATTAATAACGCTTCAAATTATATTTAAAATAATATTACAGAAGAAAAGCTCAAACTCATCTTTCATTGCCGTCCTCAATCTTTGTCATCTTTGTTTCACTTCTTGTCATTTGTCAAGAAAGATTTCAAAGCCTGCGATGATTGAATAAATAAAACTACAATATATTTGACGGTAGAAAAATAAGATATTATATATGAAATTTTGTTACATACTTTATCATCTATTCTTATGCAAATTTGCTTTTAGGAAGTTTTTTTTTTTTTTGAAAAAAAAAACCATTTTAAGATTCTATATCTATGTTCAATCTGTAAGTTAAATCATGTATAAATAATTTATCGAATTTGATTTTGTATTCAATTCATTTCGATAATTAGATTCAAACGTCCCTGAATATTAAAATAAAATAACAAAACAAAAATGTTTTGTAAAAAATATTAATCTCATGTCACACAATTTTAACTAAATTACTCTATCCTGATTTAAAATAAATCATTTTAATTTTTTTAAAATGAATAAAATTAATATGGAAAACACATGTGACTTCTAACAACCACACAACTTGTATTGCAAATTTTATACATGAATAGAAGAAAATCCATGAAAGAAATTTTAATAAGTTTTCTAAGTATGAAGACAGGAATAATAATTGCAGGCATTTTGATTGGATTGATAATAAATTTTTTATGTTTTTCATAAAATTCTTTTTTTATTTTCCTAAAATATGCTATTTGGAGAATGAGAATTACAAGAGAGTCACCTGTGGATCTCACATTAAGATTATTCATTTTACATTTTTCAAAAAATATATAGAAATGATTTTTTTCTTAATTACGAGAGAGTCACATGTGGCTAATATTTTCCAGAACAGTAAAGTTTTGGATCTTTGTTCAGAATTGAGAACAATTGAATCTAATTGCCTAAATGCAATAAATATAGAGTCGAATTTGTAAAATATTTATATAAAATTTAATTTGCCGGTTTGATTCAAAAACAAGTTCTCAAATAAGGTTTTTCCAACTGTTTCGTCTCTTAATATTACCTTAAAACCTATTATTAAACTTTTTCTCTTAATATTACCTTAATCTTATGTTGAAGCAAATTTAAAAGACAATTTACAAAAAGAAATAAATTGTAAAAATTAGTCCAATACTTAAAGAAATAAAATAACCCATGTTGAAACAAATTTCAAGAATTTATTTCTCATATTATAACTCAAATTGAAACAAATTTCAAGAATTTATTTCTCATATTACAACTCAAATTTTAGCCTCACATTTTTTAAGCACAATTTTTTTTTTTTCCATTATGCCAAGAGATTCACTACTACCAAAAGCTAGTGATCCGAAAAGACAATACTACAATTCGCTCTGGAAGTATCCATTTTCTAGTAGGACCCCTATGCCTCCGTGGACTTTCTAAGCTTACACACGTTGGGCCGATGATTACGACAGCTGCTTCTAAGATTTAGATGAACCTTCGAAAATACATCATTACCCCTGTCACTTTCGACAAATTACCCAACTAACTTTAACGCCTTTCACACGTGCAAGGTCAAGTCTGACAAAAGCAATTAAAACAAATCTCCATGTTTTGGCACAACTACTTTTTTTAGCTATTGATGAAATCTAGAAGTAAAGAATTAAGGGCTAGATTTCCCCTTCCTTACTTGACTGGTCAAAAGGAATTTTAATGACTAAAAAGTGCTTGGATGAGATCTACAGGGTGTGTGGTTAAGTTAGTTCTAAAATCTGATTTAGTATTGATTCATTTTAGATGAAGGTAAAATATGATCTAGAGGGTGTGTGGTTCAAAGATGCATTTTAGCGTCGAAAAAAAGAAGGTAAAATATGCAAATAATTTAAATATTGATATTGTCTAATTGTAAATAACATACCTCTTCGTTAGATGAAGAAAATGAACATTCTTAATATATATTAAAAAAAATCATCTCTCTCTCTCTCTCAATATGTTTTTATTGATTTTTCATGTATTATGATTAAGTTTCTTTTTTAATTGATTAAAATAAAATAAATATATATATTAGAATATGGATATTTATGCAAATTTTATTTCTCATGGTTAGACCTAAAATTTAAATGCTAATTTCTTCATATTTAGATCATGTCATTTTTTTTATTTTTTTATTGAGTCTGTTCTACTCTTTTTTTAGTTTATTTGAGATTTTTTATTTTTTGAAATTTATTACTTTAGAATTTTTATTATAACATCACCAATCAGACAATCGACATATAGTCCAAATTTTTTATTTTACAATGTTAAATATCGATAACTTATTGGTGACGTTATAACAAAAAGTCTAAAATAACAAATCTCAAAAATAGAGGATCTTAATTAAGTCAAAAGCAAGTAGGTCTCAATAAAAAAATATTCAAATAGTATATGATTTAAATATAAGGTAAACTCATTTACACACTGTGTGCGAGTTAGTGAACAAAAGCAAAAGTATATGATTAACTATCTAATAGTAACATATTAGGTTTTTTTAATACTAACATGATATATAATGTTAGTTAACTCCTAGCCATTAGTTTCTAATTCGACTAAGATTATTTCATATTCTTATTAACTGCAAAAATAAATAAATTATTTAATTTGATCACGTATTATTTATGGCAAATCTTGTTTAATGTATGTTAAAAAGGATGATGAATATATATAGGGTATTTGAAAGGAACTCAATCCAATAGTTAATTTGATAATATATATATATATATTTCATAAGGTTTGTGGGCATTGGACTATATAATAGAAGGTAATCTTCCTCAATTACATAATAATCAAATAAAATAGAATTCTTGGGACTCAAACTCGCTTTAAATCAAAAACAAGATACACAACCATTTAACTATGCTTGCAAATAACATGATATATTATGTTAGCACTAATTTGAGAGGAACTTGATCCAATAGTTACCATATGGACTTAGAGTATGCTAGTTGGCATCCCGCACTATGTAGCGGATGATGAAGATTATTTATGGGGGTGACTTGGCTCACACAAAGGATGTTAAGGAAGTTTCAAAACATTGTACCCATTGATTTAGAATGTCAATGGATGTCATAGTGAAAATATTTTTTTTTGTAATTTTTCTCATGAAGGTAATGCTTTTGTGCATCGATTAGAGATATAAAACTATTTTCAAACATTGAATGGGCATGTCATTATTTTTCATGAACGGATTTCAATCAAATAGGAGGACGATAGTTATTAGTTTCATCAAAAAAGAAAAATACGGATAAAAAGTATGATGTGGTATTAACATGTTGCAAATTAATTATAGTTAGGGAAAAAAAGTGTCGTCAAAGAGAGTTCAACAAATTGCTTTTTCTCCGGGAAAGATAGAAAATTCAAAAAGGAGTCGCCATCTAACATCGGAAAAACTATAAAAATTCAATAATGATTGGTTCATGCAAAAATATAAGTAAGGGATTGATTATGAATGGAAAAGATCGAGATCACCGCCACTACATCCTACCTAAGATAAGCTGAATTGCATGCATATGAAACTAAAAGTCCGGTCTTTAATATGTTACGAGTCTATAACTATTTAAGTGAATTTATCTTATTGGGATGGTTCAATCAAGCAGTTTGAGATTTAAGCCAATCAAAGGCCAATTTCCATACTCTAAAAGAAAAAGAAAAAGATGTTTAAAATGGCGAGACACTAATGTCTACGA